AATACAATTAAATTTGCTAGAGATTGATATTTCCATAAAGTTCAAGAAATCAACCTCATAAATGCAAAGTGGGGAAGATGTGGCTAGATGGTGATTCTCCTAAAAAAAGTTCTGGTGTTTGTAGTGGGCTGCAAGCTCCATATGACGTGAGTGTGATATGGAAGCCAAGACAACTAAGGAAATCTTTGGCTACATTAAGAGAAACATAGTGCCTAGGACAAGGGAGGTGAAGTCCCATTGTATTTTGTCCTGGCTAGGCCACGTCTAGAATATTCTGGGTGCTACATTTTCTTTTTCTTTAAAAATTTTTTTGGAGATTTTGTTTCTTACATCATCTTCATTTCAAATACATCCTCTACTTTCCTCCCCCAGGAAGCCATCCTTTCTAAGAAAGAAGAAAAAAGAGAGTGAAAAGGCAGCCCAGTACAACTAATCAATACATTAATGGAATGACAGTGTATGCAGTGTTCAACACCCATAGTTCCCTACCTCTGAAAAGAAGTGATGGAGGTACATTTTCTCCTCTCTTCTTTAGGGCCAAGATTAATTATCATAACTATATAGTGTTCAGTTTCAATTGTTATTATTCCCTATTTATATTGTAGTAATTCCCTATTTATATTGTAGTAATTGCATAAATTGTTTTCTTGGTTTTGCTTACTTCGCTTGGCATCAATTCATATATCTTCCCATATTTCTCTGAATTCTTTCTATTCATTGTTTCTTATGACATAGTTATGTTTTTATTACATTTATGCACTACAACTTGTTTAGTTATTCTCCAATTGATGAGTATCTGCCTTGTAGGTCTTTGCTACTACAAAAAACGTATCATTATAAATATTTTCATGTATGTGGGACCTTTCTATATTTGTGGGTGCTACATCTTCAAAAGGAAATTGACAAATTGGAGAGAGCAAAAGGGAGGGTGAATGGGATAAAGGTCTCATGATCATCCAATGTGAGGATTGGTGGAAGAAAATGGGGACTTGGAGCCTAGAGAAGATCTGGGGGTGACAAGAGAACTAACTTGAATTATTTGAAGAGTTGTCATGTTGACTCAAGCTCATTCTGCTTAGCCCGAGAGGGAAGAAGTCAGAAAAAGAGATGAGAGTTCAGAAAGGTCAATTTTAGTTTAAGTCAGTAAAAACTTCCTAATAATTAGACTCATCTAAGTGGAATAGGCTGCCTTGGAAGGCAGTAGGTTTCCTCTCACTGGAGGTTTCTAATCAGGAGCTATGAAAGTTGATGGGACTGAAAAAGTCAATCCATCATGGTCAGTTTGGTGTTGAGTCTTTGAACTTAACTGGGCTGGTCCTCAAGCAACAGAAATACCACCCATTGGGCCACAACTGGCCCCATGCTTGAAGGCCACAGAATCTGCAAATTGGAGTAGACCCTAAGGTCATCCAGCCAAATTGCTATCTGAATAGGAACTCTCTCTTTACCATTCCCAGTAGTTTCTCTTGACCATCCCCAGGGTATTTTAGCCCCTACTCAGGGAGCTCTGAGGAGAGGCCCCCTGAGGCACCCCATTCCACTTGTTACCAAGTTTCTCTCGACATCAAGCCTTAGTTGGTCTCTTTGCAATTTTCCCCCATTGTTTCTAGTGGTGCTGTCTAGAGCTAAGCAGAAAGAGGGCTGGATTTGGAGCCAGAGGACCTCAGTTCCCTCATTTCAAATCCTGGTTCTGCATTTACTAGCTGCGACCCTGTGGAACTCACTTAACTTTTCTGAGCCTCAGTTTCCCCATCTAAAAAAAAGTAGGGTTTGCATTAGATAAGCTCTAAGGTTTCTTAGCTTTTGATTTTTGATCCTAAATCTAATCCCTTCTTCCATATAACGGTGCTTCAAATACTTGAGGACGTCAATCATGCTGCCCCAGCCTCTGCCTCAATCTTCTCTTCTCCAGTCTAGACATACCTCTTATGCTGGATGGACCATCCTGGTCACCAGCTTCTGGATAGACCCCAGAATTTGTCAGTATCCTTCCCAAAATGTGAAGGCCAGAACTGACCACAACATGCCAGACACGTTCAGACCAGAACAGTACACAATGCAACTATGACTTCCCACGTTCCAAATGCTATGCTCCTGTCAATGCAGCCCAAGACTGCATCGTCTTTTGGGCTATATTATCACACTGCTGACTCATGTTGAGCTTACAGTTTGTTTAAAAACTTCTGGTCATTTTCTTTTCTTTAAATATTATCTTATTTTATCTACACAACACCAACCAAAGTCTTGGTAAGTTTTATTATTATCTCCATTTTACGGATGAAGTAACTGAGGCAAACAGGTTAAGTGGCCCTCTATCCATTGTACCACTTATGCCTTTTTTTTTTTAAACAAGAACTACTATCTGACCATTTCTTCCTTATCTTATATTTGTCTAATTGTCTCGCTGAGCCATAGGAAACTTTACCTGTATGCCCGTTAAATTTCATCTTATTAAATTCAACCTAACATGCTAGCCTGTCTTTTTGGATCCTGGCTTTGCTACCCAATGTATGGGCTACCCTTCCCAGTTTCATATAATCCACAAATGTGATAAACATGCCATCCATACCTATATCCAAGCCATAGATAAAAAAAAAAAAGAAAAGGTCCAAAAAAGGCCAGGAGCAAGAGCAGGAGAGATAATCTAGTAATCTAGTGGCTAGGGTGCTATACTTGGAATCAGGAAAACCTGGGTTAAATCTGGCCCCCGATGCTCCACTGTATGAGTATAGACAAGTTGTGGCAACTTTCTGAGCCTCAGTTTCCCCATCTGTAAAATGGGGATAATAACACCTGGCAATGTCATGAGACTCAAATCAGAGAATGTAAATAAAGCAATTTGCAAACTTGAAGGTTCTGTATAAATGTCAGTTATTTTTAATATATCAAGAAGAGAGCCAGCCCTAGGACACACCACTAGAGGATTCCTTCCAAGTTGAACAAAGCCTTGGTGCTAAAACAAACACAATCAGCAGCTGGGAATCTGGGACTCGAAGCTTAGCTTATATCCATGATGATGCTTCTGACAACACTGATTGAAATAGACAATAATATTGATCATTATAATAACTTTCTTACTGAAAACCAGGTGTGGATGAAACTGAGAATGAAGATTTTGATTAGAACACAGGTCTGCCTTCACAGCAGCCTTGCCCTTCACCACAAACCTTCCTCCCCAAGGATGATAAAAATGGGGCCTTCCTTTTTTTTTTCCTCTATAAAATGTTTATTACAAATTGAATCTGCCAATATGTCAAAGAAACCAAGTGCCATGTCCCTTCTCCCATATGGGAGGGTGAGAAGGCTCAGCAGAAGCCCATGGCTGTACCATCCACGCCTGCTGGTTCTGCCCTGGCCCAACACTGTGTGTACGAGGCTGTGTATGTCTGTGTCTGCTCACAGTGTGCATGCCTGGGTGTGTCTGTGTGTGTGTGTGAGCCTCTGTGTGTGTATGAGTGTGTGTGTCTTAAGTTCTCCCCTCCTCCCGTCCAAAAATAAAACAAAAACAAAACAAAACAAAAAAATCAAACAAACCAACAGCACTGTCCATGGACTTTGCTCTCTTTGTCTCCATTGATTTTTTCACCAGTTCTTTCTCTCCCCAGAAAAGCTTCTGACCTGCCTGCTTAGAAATATCAACTAGAATTAGCCACTCTTTAATTGTCCTCCGTCTCAAAGAGACCCCTATCCAATTTCCCCCTCTAAGACAGATCTAGGGGAAGAGAAAAAACAAAAACAAAAAAACAACCTCTTTGAAAAGTCTAGTATATAAATAGTCAGAGAGCC